TGATTGAAACTTTGCAAAATAAATGCTTCTTAACATATTTGGACTCAAAACTCCTCTTAGTGATTTAATTATGTAGGATGTTTTACTAAGTTTTGAACATAATGACTGGATGTGGGTACTCCATTTAAGGTTTTCTGTAATATCTATACCTAAAAATCTCAGTTCTGATGAATAAGCAATTTCCAAGTTGTTATAAAATATCCGTGGTCTAACTACAAACCTACTTTTACTAAGATGGAATGACATAGCACTTGTTTTTTTAATATTTATTAAGAGGTTATTTACCTGAAACCATGTTTCAAGCTGTTTCATGATCTTATTTATTTTCTGTTGCGCTATGCCTTCCTCTTTATCAATAACAAGCACATTAATATCGTCTGCAAACAATACCATTTCTCCACCTTGTACATTTAGCGGGAGATCATTTATATACAGAAGAAACAGTAGTGGTCCCAGAATTGACCCCTGTGGTACCCCATGTATTGTTTCCCTTAAAGGTGATATATATTTATTTTGGGTCTTTTTATTCAGGTAATTTGTTTCAACAAATTGTACTCGGTGGGATAAGTAAGATTTAAACCATAAATTAGTAACCCCCCTGATCCCATAATAGTTTAATTTATCTAGTAGTATACTGTGGTTTATCACATCATATGCTTTTGTCAAGTCAAAAAATATTCCTATAACATGAAACCGTCCATCCATTGCCTCCTGTATACTCTCAATGAAGGTCTGGGAAGCTGTTTCTGTCGATTTGTTTTTTCTAAATCCATTTTGCACTTCTGTTAATATTGCATATTTTGTTACAAAGGAAATCAACCTGTTATACACCAGTTTTTCTAGTATTTTAGAGAAAACAGACAGAACTGCTATTGGCCTGTAATTACAAACTTCATGTCTTTCCCCTTTTTTATACAGCGGTCTTACTTTAGCTATTTTCATCTTATCTGGAAACACCCCTGATTTTAAAGAGGCATTAAAAATATGTACTAAAGGTTTCTTTATGTATTGTGAACATCTCTTGGCTAAATATTCTGGAATTTCATCAAAGCCTGCAGATGGTTTACCGTTAAACTCTTTATTGCCCTCTCTATTTCAATTTCGGTAATAGGGAGCCAAAATATTGTGTTCATCTGATATTGAATCCTCTGTTTTGAGGTTTGTACTGGGGAATGGTTTATATTATTTGCTAAGAGATCTTCAATGCTTTCAATAAAAAAGAAATTCAACATGTCTGCTATTTTTTGTGGATTTGATATTTCCTCACTTCCATTCTTTAAACTAGTTATATAGTCACCCTGCCTAAAACTTCCAGTTTCTTTATTTATTATTTGCCAAATGCCTTTGTTTTATTATGTGACCTTAACATAAACATATCATTTTCTTTTCTTTTAGCTTCTGTTATAACACTTTATAAATTTTCTGATATCTATTAATGTATTCCAATATATCATTTGATAAATTTGTATTTTTCTTTAAAGTCTTGCCTTTGTTCACAGATCACAGGAGGTGTTGAAAATGCTGTACCTCTACACATAAGTATGTTTTGCAATTAATTATTTCATTATAAAACACACATACAACAATCCTTCTTGCACTTACAGCACACCAGACACCAACTTTCATTGTATGTCTTCAGCAATTGTGTTGCCCTTCTTGTACTGGACTTTGACACTCCAGTCTCTTCAGCTAGACATTTCAGTGATATTCTAGGTGTATGTTCAAGTCCGGCCCCTATGTAATCTAACTTCTCAGTAAGCACTTGGCACTTAGGAGTCCTGTTGTTCTAAGTTTATTCACCAAATTATGAATTGTCTATCTGCTTGGAACTCTCTCATCATGAAATTTATGTCAGAATTTTCTCTGCAACATTCCAGCAGATTCCTATTTCATGTAGGTGTCACATAGAAATACACATTGCTCTGAAGTATCATGAACTGTGTCATGAGTATGGACCAGATTTTAATGCAAATGCATATTTCTTTCTTGCAACCAGAGAGTATGCTCATTTGGATATATGTATGAATTACTTCATTTCTTAAATTCTGGACATGGTTTGATGGTGCATATAAATGCATATTTTGCCTGTTTTATGAATAAGCATCATATTTTCGAACATCTCTATTTCTACTGCATATTTCCTTTTTAAAATGTTTATCATATATATTTTTTAATTTTATGTTCAAATTTTCAACGCTGGTCGTGTGTATACAATTTTTCTTTTCTGTATTAGAATATGTTGCATATCTGACTCAACATTTCATCATGATTCATTTTTCTGATGCAGTGCCCAGGACGGGACTTCCCAGATTCCTCTACTCGTAACTTGCCTCATCCGCGTTGTATCAAAGTGGCCGCAAAAAGATTAGTCGGAAGCGTTCACATGTAGCCGCTATCAACGTAATACTATTCAACCAATAAGGGACTTCACTTATTTATTTCCGAAGTCTCCATGAGGTTTGTTACGCTTCTTTATTTGAAGCTGGGGCCACCGAAAGTGAAAGTAAGTCAGAAAACTAAATTACAGCTGTATCAGCGGAAATTCGAAGGAGAGATGATAAGTATGGATAACAAAATTCCTTACTGCTGAGCGTATAAGAAAACATTTGGTTGTGAAGAACGCTTTCAAGTGCTTCAACATTTGAACACTAATATACACAAAGAGAATATTAAAATTAAATCCACGAAAAGTGCTCCTGTTCAAAAATTGCTTAGTGAATTTTCTAATAATAGTTTTTTTCAGAATTTTCCTTTGATTTATGCGAAAGCCTTTTTAGCGGCAGATATTCCGTTGTGGAAACTAACCAATCATACTCTGAGAAACTTCATAGAGAAGTATACACAGTGCAAAGTGCCGGATGACTCTACTGTGCGCAATAATTACGTGAAGCAGTGTTACGATCTTACAATTGAAAGCATTAGAGATAAGATTCAAGATAATTTTGTGTGGGTATCAACTGACGAAACACAATATTGTGAGGGACGGTTTATTGCAAATTGTACAGCTGGATCCCTTAATAAGAATGAACAATCTACTCCGTATCTTCTTGTGGTAGAGCAATTTGAAACCACAAATAGTTCCGCACTTTCCGAATTTTTTATCAATTCCATGAATTTACTATGGCCGAATGGCATTCAGTATGAGCGTGTACTGCTCTTTGTGACTGATGCCGCAAGTTACATGATGAAAGCCGGTACTGCTCTTAAAGTTATATTTCCAAATATGACACATCTGACTTGCCTTGCCCATGGGTTGCACTGTGTTGCAGAAACAATTCGTACAAATTTTCCGCTTGTTGAACAGTTGGTGTTTTCTGTGAACAAGGTATTTGTTAAAGTGCCATACAGAAAAGAAGCCTTTAAAGCAGTAGCACCGAGTGTTCCACTTCTGCCAGAACCAATTTTAACGCGCTGGGTCACATGGCTGTGTGCAGCGAGTTATAGCGAACATTTAGAAACAGTTGGGAATGTCATGAATACATTTGATCCAAAAAGTGCAGCATCAATTCAAATTGCCCAAGATGTACTAAAAAAACACAAAACTAGAAACTAATCTTTCCTATATATCTGCTCACTTCTCTCATCTTCCATCCACCAATTCCTCACTGGAGGCAAGCAATAGCAATACTACTTTGTATCAGCTGTTAAGTGTGTTCAAAACCACTGTTTCCAAATTGAATTCGTTTCCTGGAAGAGTTGGTGAAGTAGTAAAGGAAAAAGTACACAGCATTCTTTAAAAAAATCCAGGATATGAACATATTTGTGAAATTGAAGAAATTTTAGCAGGTAAACGTACTGAACTGCCAAGTAAATTATCACTAACAGTGGACAAATAGCGGCTTTTGTACATGCGCCCCTAAGTTCCTGTGAAGTGGAAAGAAGTCTTTCCCAAGATAAGGACATCTTACGAGACAATAGGAGGTGACTAACTATGGAAAACCTAAAACATTTAGTAATTTTGAACTGCAACAGAAGAGAAGTTGAAAGTTTGGAGAGCTAAATGTGAGTACCATTGGTTTTCTAAATTTGTAATGAAATATGTCAGCTTTGTTGCATGATTTGCATTTAAGTATAGCTTTTGGTTGCAGGTGAATCATTCATAAAATGAACTTAAGTATTGATTTTGGTCTTAAAATAATGTAAAATAAATTTTAATATTTGGCATAAGTTTTTATGTGCATATTTCCAAAGTCTTTCATGCATAAATGCATACATATTTAAGGGATTAGTAGGGCATAAAAATCCAGTCTCCAGTCATGAGACACTGCTGACTACCTGTTAACTGGGAACAAATGGCTCATGGTGCTGATAACTACTGCCTACTGCTGACAAATCATAAACAAACTCCACATGCATGAACCATAATGCCCATTGTGTAACATAATACTGTGTAGAAGTTAATTATTTTCCTTCATTACATATGTTACTGGCTGTTAACCATATTAAGTCATCGGCAAAATTCACATGTACTTCATGGCCAGCAATGGACCAGTCACGGTGAAGTGAAGAGCTGTGAACTCGTCAACAGCATTAAAATGTCCCTGTAGAAGGCCATAAATGGGTCTTNTTTGGGAATCACCTGCAAGCCCATGGCAAAACCCTCAAACAGATGAACAGAATGAATGACAGTGACGGAATACACATACAAGTGAATCCAAATGTGCAATTTAAATCCACAACTATATGCTTCGAGACCATAAATATAACCTTCTAATGGTCACCTCTATTGAGACTGGCATTTAGAACAATCAAACATTTACTGTACAAAAATTCATAACATAGTTGATATCTTATATTTCAGAAATGCTGAATTATGTGGATAATCCTTATATCACAATATGTTCATCAAGTAGTCTTATTTCCTGATATTATTTAATCTTGAATCTCAGACTTTACTATAATCTGCCCAAGCAGCTGTCCTGGCTACAACAGATCAACATACATTCAACACATAACAATAAACAGTGCCTGCATATTGCAAGAACGGAAGGTTGACTCACCTGCCAAGCTTAGCATCTTCATCACTTGCCTTACTGCCCCGCACCTTCTCACAGATCACCATCAGAAGTCCTGTCCGGTTCACCAGATAGCATGACAGGTCAATAAAGATGAGGATCACAAACAGTGATGCCACCACAATGCTCACAATAGCACCTGAGCTCAATGCAGGTCCCTCATTTGCAGGCACTGGGGTATCCCCACCTGTTCAAAGTTGAAGATTTGTAAAACTGACAGTCATCAAATATCCTACCACCTGCAGAATGATTATAGACTATAGTTTCTCCCCAGATATTATTTGTTGCTTCCTGTTTCTTTTTCTTGTATATTACAGTCCACGTGTCAGATGAAATTAGCAGGGAATTCTACACAAGTTAAAGACTTAATTCCTCACAGGTGTTATACATGTTAAACAGGCAAAACAATTAGAAACAAGAAGTAAGCAAACGGTTTAAGACACATTATATTGTTAATTTTTAGAAACTTGTACAGAGTGGTATTCCTTTTCTAAATTTTGGGTTCTTTTAGACACCCAATGTGTAGACCTATCTATTTGTCTAGAACATTTCTTGTAAATATTGTTTTCATGTAGATTGCTCTTCAAATTTTTAAAATATTTTTGAAATATTCTTGCATAATTGAAGAGGGCCATGCAATAAAAAATCAACAAGAATATGAAAATGATAAGCAGCCAGTGTATTCAGGTTTTACAAAACAGAATAGCAAGAACTGCATAGCTTCAAGCAGCAGATCTGNAGTGAAAAAAAAAAAAAGAAAGAACCGTGATAGTGTGGGCAGGGGGGGGGGGGGGGGGGGGGGGGGGGGGAGAAGAGGGTTAAATGATACTTGCAAAAGCCTTGGAGATATAAAGGTCAAAACAAAACTTGGGAATATAAGCAAAAATTTCAGAAAGATCAGACACCAATTCTGTTAAAATACTGATGATGAAATTGTTAAGACAGCAATATGCAAAACCACTATTTCCTTCCAACTCACACCTTATCTTCCTATGTGATCTTCCCACCTCCTCCTTGGCATTCCAAGTGGATGGTTTTCAAGAGATTTCTGAATGCATCCCTTGATGCTCTTCTCATAGCTGTGTGGCCAGCCCATTGTAATCTCCTATAATTCATTATTGTAACAATACTAGGTTACATGTATAAATCATGTTTTTAATTATGTGATATCTTAAATTACTCAACTCTTTCCACCACCTTAGATCCACATATTTTCTTCAAAAGAAAAGTGTGTGTCCCAGGTCCATACAAGACAACTGGCAAAAATGTTTTGTTTCTTGTTACATAACAAATGAAAAAAAAATATCAGATTATAATGATATAAATATTCTACATTTTATCGTTACAGCTCTGGGTGATTTTATGAAATCCAGTTTTATAGTGAGGAACACACTGTGTATGCTTTCACTTTCTGAAAAATACATGAACACAAACTACCATAGCGTTAAAACATCACTGACAGTTTCAACTATGAATCTTCTTTGCACATCATATCCATTGATCAGGTTTCAACGCAGTTTTCAGTCTTACTAAAAATTTACTGCTGTCTTACTATCAGTCTTGCTCTTACTTTTCTGTACTGTCAGAATATTCATGTTACTCATTAACCCAGTTATTTGGCATTGATAATGCTGTAATAATGATTGAAGAATGAAGGGAAAGTGTTCCAAACAGCATGGGAAATGGAGAATCAAACAAATACTGAACCAGCACAGCAGCAATAGTAGCTAATGTAGTAAAAGATTCTAAAAACAAGAACAGGTTGATAGAAGTGTCTGGTTAAGGGAAAGGTCTCGCTGGCTCCCCACCACAGCGGCCTGGGTTCGATCAAGTGGGATTTGTTGTGGACAAAATAGCGCTAGGGTGGATTTTTACTGAGTACTTCAGTTTCCCTTGCCAATCTTCATTTCACCAAATTCTCCATCATCATAATCACCCAGGGCAGGNATTCAGAAAGATGGACACAATTTCAAATGGCTATATTTCCTGAACTGTATGTTGCATTTGAATTCTGTAAAGTACATTTGAAAGAGGATGTTACAAAGTTTCTAATACTACCGCTAGAGCACTCCAGCACCGCGTCAGTTGTAAGCGAAATTGCTACTGTGCAACACAAGATTTTTTGCATTCGTGAGTTCAGTAAAAGTGAGTCTGCGACTGTGGTGCAGCATGCATTTCGTCGTAAGTTTAACATCCAACCTCCAACGAGGAAGAACATTTATCGTTGGAATAAACTATTTGATTAAACTGGCTCTCTGTGTAAGGGTCAAAGCCCGGGCCGATCAAGTCTATCGGAGGAGAACGTGGAGTGCATTCGAGTGAACTTTGAGCGCAGCCAAATGAAGTCAACCCGTAGTGCTAGTAGAGAACTTGGACTATCACAAACAACTGTCTGGCATGTACCACCTCTTCCCACAAATCTGAATGACCTAAGAAACTGTATCACAGCTGCGGTGAACTCAGTGACGCAAGATATTTGTCATCGAGTGTAGGATGAATTCAGCTACCGTCTAGATGTTATCCGTGCAGCCGGAGGGGGGGGCATTGAACATCTATAAATTTCCATGTATGTATAATCAAATGTAATTTACAGACTTCAAATGCAACATATAATTCAGGAAATGTAGCCAATTGAAATTGTGTCCATCTTTCTGAATCACCCTGTATAGTACAGCTATGTCAACAGGAATGTACAAATATGGACATTCATCAGTTCATTTTACAAAAGTTTGAACCAATAATCATGCAAATTTGCAATGTTATTTTATTATTCCTTGTATAAATTCCCAAGAGTGTTGGAGCTTTGAAAGAACAAGTGAATAGACTAGAAATTTACACCACCTTAGCCATTATATCATACTAGTGAAAGTGATAATTTTTTGTCCAAATTCTTCTTAAAACAGGTGGTACTGAAATAACCGAATTCCTTATATACTGCAACAATCTTATGAATACATATCCCTGTTCACCAGTGTTCTATCATTTACTGCCATGGTGCCATATAATAATTGTCTGAAGCATTTATGGCTGCAAGCAAGAGAACTGCAACCAGACATGCATGGCTTTTGCACAGTGAAACCAGTTATGGTCATGTAGCAACCAGGCGAGAAAAAGAGGAATCAAGAAAACTAGAATAAAGGATATCATTGTGACATGCTGCGCAATGGAGGACCCCCCCACCGGGCCAGCGGTACGTGGCAGCATCGGAACGCTGCCATTACTATGGTAATAGGAAAGTCAACACCCCGCCCCTCTTCTCGCGGTGACGTAACACACAATGCAGCTGTGACATGGGTAACAGGCAACAGAGGTACCCATTGCGTAACAGGCAGACACTGTGACTATATAAGGGAACGACACAGCCACCGACGATAGTTCTCAAGTTAGCCGGCAGTGAGTTACGAGTTGAATTGAGTTGTAACGAGTGAATCGTGACAAAGTGAATTGATTTGTGTGTAGGGTTTGTAAATGGTGTAAACCCGTAACGTTGTTATAATTAATTGTAGCTGAGATTTTTAGGTTGTCGTTAGGTTGTCGTTGGTGTCTCCACCTTATCATGGTGAGGGTGTTTGAGTATGCCAAGGACCCTGAGAGCTATACCAGCGGTAGCGTAGCTACTGGCAGGGCCTCCCTTGCTGGACAGGTCAAAGGGTAGGCATCAGACGAAGAGAGACACCGAAAACTGATGCCGGAAGTAGCGTCATCAGCGGCGACTTGAAGCACAGAGAAAATGATGCTCGAGATGGTTCAAGTTCGTATAGCAACAGGCGTGACCAGAGTGGTTTGAACGGCTGTTGTACTGCGATGTGGAAAGCAAATGGAAAAACTACCACATTATCACTTTTCCTGGATAGTCTCTTTCCAAAAACAGAAGATCGCATTAAGTGGAGAAACTGTTTTGGAAGAGGCTGTGGACCTGTCATCTGACAGATTACTGATGAATGAATGAAATAAACCAATTAACAATCTGAATGGCGTCTTCAGTAATGAAACACGTTACATTATATATGTACTTTGAATCTATTTATAGTCTCTGGAATAGGATTATTCAACATTAAAATACATATAAAGTCAGAAAATAGCAAGATCTGAGATAAGACTGTGTTGGTGAATTATGAAAGACAATCCATGCACTCTGTATTTGAAGTTGCACATTACTGTCATGCACTCTTACTCTTTGAGCACAGACTTCAATTATGAAGAAATTTCTCATGCTAATAATTTTCCTGGGGAGTAAAGTGCGGCCAGCGCGTAATGCTGACAACCTTACCGTCATCTGTGAACCGATTGTCTAGATAATGTGGGACCCTCAATGTCTCACAACCCTATGGGCCTTCACGGTCTGGTACAGGGATAGCTTTACTTTTTTTTGCTTGCATATCACAATTCATGCTGATCTCCTGTATCTTAATTCACAAATTTTAAAATGTTTTCAGGGTTTCAATGTGATTATACCATAAAACGGAAACTGAACTTCTATGTTTAAAACACATACTCCAAGATAAACCGAATGATGGGAAGCATTGTCATCATATTTTCACTTTCAGAGATCTGGCACTATAAGCATTCTGCCTGGAACACCATTCTGGAGGTGGACACTGCTAGTTAGTGAACTAGTTCACCACAACATGACCCTAGCAGCCAAAAAATGGAAACATGAGCTAAACCTTGATTAATATTCATGTTGAGAACAACCCTCCATTATAGGATTTCAGGTTCTCACAGCAGTGGTTATGGTTATCTTCTGGGACAATGTCATACATGGCTTAAATGCAAGAAGAGAAACTTTTCAATAATCCACAGCATTTTATACAAAAGCTTTGTCCTTTCTTTAGTATTTTCATTGAACCACTAAAGCAACCAATCTGAAAATGTTTTGATATTAAACACATATTGTGTTGGCATGTAGTATGGGTATCTACCATATTGTATGGCATCTCATAAGACTATATAGTCTTAATACTCACTAACATGTGAACCCCAAGTCTCTTATACACCAACAATCAAAGAGTTTTCCATATTTTATTTGGAAGGGAAATACAGAAGCATTCTCCATTTCAGAAACATTAGTCACAAATGTAACTTCGTTGGATGTGACTGAACAAAGAATTACAAACTATCACCAAGGAAGGCCCAAACCTTTTGATAGACTATACAAAAATTAGACAAAAAAGGACTGAAACACAA